AGGATTGCCAACTTCCAGGTGGGACGGCAGCAGAACACACGGAAAACATGGCAGGGTTGAGCAAATATATAAAAACACCGTGTTAGAACAAAACACAATACTATTATGCTACTATATCTTCATATATTGATATAAATAATATACTGGAATACAATAGAGCCCCTAGTGTATCTTATTCATTATAGTACAAAAGCCTAAGGAAAATTATATATCTAGCAGAAACGTCCACAGCTACAGAAACAGGTTTCTTCCGGCAGCCCTCAGTCAGAGCAAGAAGCAGCCAGGTAAGCTGCAGAGCCCCCCCTCCGGCCCCCCAGTCCAAAACAGTCCAGTGGCACCTTTAAGACCAAGTTTTATTCAGGTACAAGCTCTCCCTCCTCTGCGAGGGCAGATCTGCACGTTCCCCCCCCCCAATAGCTAGCAATCCAAAACAGTCCAGTGGAGCCTGAGCGGTGGGTGTTGCTGTCTGACACACTTTGGGTGATGTCAGGGGGTGTGGCATATGCAAATGAGTTATGCTAATGAGCTCCTGCACCTCTTTTTCTACGAAATGACCCCTGCTGGGAGGCATGTCGCTTTGATGCTTGCTGTATCTCCTTTTGGAAAGCACAACAGCCTGCTGCATCTCTCATCAGTCTCTCATCAGAAAGCAAGATTGTCTACAGCACTGAGACCTGTTTCTGTAGCTGTGGACTTTTCTACTAGATAAATAATTTTCTTTAGGCTTTTCTACTATAACCAATAAGATACACTAGGGTCTCTATTGTATTCCAGTATATTATTTAGATCGATATATGAAGATATAGTAGCATGATAGTACTGTGTTCTGTTATAACACGGTGATTTTCTACATTTGCTCCCACCGGGAGGCCGGCAACCCTATCAGGCATCAGTTTTGCTCCACTGTGTCAATGGGGGCTTGGTGGGGGTGGGGGGGGATCATCAGTGTCTTTAACTACAAGGAAAAATTAATGTATGAAACCGGAGTTCTGTTGCTGGTGGTTTCAGTTCTCTGGGTGGAGGCGAAGAGCCTTGATTTGGTCTGCAAGTGAGAAAGGTCCATTGCATGTGTGTTTGGGGGGAGGGGGGGTAACTCCTACCTGAGTGGGAATCAACCACAGCCCCATCTTAAGACCCTGACCCAGTGCCAGTGTGGGGCCAGGGCTGCTAGGGGGTATCCGAGGCCCCCCAGCAGAGGAGAGGGGATTTTTTATTTTATTTTAAACAAATCACTTGCCGAGGCTCATAGAGCCTAGCAACGCCACTGGTGTCCGTGGAAACACCACCAGTGCCCATGAGTCCACAGCACAAGGCAACTCCCCCCCATACATCAGCCTGCCCACCTCCAGAAGGCCAGGAGGGACAAAGGGCACATGGAAACACATCACTGTGAGGATCGTGGCCTCAGCGACAGGACTCCTCTAGTAGGAACATCAGAAGTGTCTTGTTGGATCGGTCCAGTGGTCCATCTAGTCCAGCATCTGGTCTCCCACAGTGGCCAAACCAGTCCTCTGGAGGGCCAACAACAGGGCAGAGAGGCCTTCCCCTGATGTTGCCTCCTGGCACTGGGCACTATGAATGTGGAGGTTCCCCTCAGTCACCAGGGCTGGTGGCTAGACTTGCCCTCCATGAGTCTTTCTAGTCCCCTTTGAAAGTTGTTTATTCCTGTGGCCATGACTACATCCTCTGGAAGCGGACTCCACATTTTAAACACTCTCTGTGTACAGATGTATTTCTTTTTCTCTTTCCTGAATCTGCTGCCCATCAGCTTCATTGGATGCCCCCAAGTTCTCATATTTTGGGAGAGGGAGAAAAATTTCTCTTTGCCCACCCTCTGTTGCGGCAGGACATCCCTGTGATTTTTCGTAAGCAGGCTTTGTCCTTCGATGTAAGTAAGACACAGGGAGGCGGAAACAAACTTGACCCAATACCTGGAATTAAGAACCACAAGCGTAAGAAAGAAGTCTGATAAAGGGCCAGTATTAAAAACCCAGTGTAAAAACCAGAAAATACCTATGTGACTAACACAGTTGGAGTGTCCCCAACAAACTGCAGTTTGCCTAAGCATTGATGATACCGTCTTTGATTACAGATTCTACTAATATGCCTGGGACAGACATTAGGCCGACTGGCCTGTAATTTCCTGGCTCCCCTCTGGATCCCTTTTAAAAACTGATGTAACATTTGCTCCTCTCCAGTCTTGTGGAACAGTGGCTGAATTCCGTAAGGGGTTACATCTACATGCTAATTCTTAAGAACTGTTGGGTGGGTGCCATCAGGACCTGGAGACTATGGTGGGTCTCCTTAGGAGATGTCTACAATAGTTCATACCAGTCTGTGATAGTTAATGTAGCACAAGGACATGAACCCTGATCCGCAAACCAAGACAAGGGCAATCCAGGGTGTGTCTTCCTGACCAGGGTCGGTGATGTTGCTACACCTGCTTTAGATTCCTTTCTGCCTTTTTGATATATTCTCCTCTTCTTCTTCATACCAAGTAAGTGGAGGCATCTATTTGCAGTCAGAGGCGGGGAGATGGAGGAGCAGGACCCAGAAGGACCAGGAACTGGCAAGAGAGCAAGGAAAGACCCCCCTCCCATCCAGGTGGGGAGTGGTGCTGAACTCTGGGAGAGAGCGGTGCCAGAGGTCCTGCCTCAGGAGACGGGGATCCCAGAGGAGCATCGCCAGCGTTTCCGGCAGTTCTGCTACCAGGAGGCTGCTGGGCCCCGAGAGGTTTGCAGCCAGCTCCACGGACTCTCCAAGCGCTGGAGAGGCACTCCAAGAAGCAGATCCTGGACCTGGTGATCCTGGAGCAGTTCCTGGCCGTCCTGCCCGAGGAAATGCAGCGCTGGGTCAGAGGATGCGGGCCGGAGACCAGTTCCCAGGCGGTGTCCCTGGCCGAGGGCTTCCTCCTGAGTCGGGCAGAGGACAAGCGGCAGGCAGAGCAGGTGAGGGAGCTTCATGCCGTCCATTCAAGCTGTGACCTTCAGCCTTAGCCTAAGGCCCCCCTGTCCAATATGTGTCCCTCCAGACACTTCACCGGGGCTGATTTCAGGCAGCTGTGTCGATCGATGCAGGGGTGAGGATGGGCAGGGGCAAGATCCGTCTCCTCGGTCTTTCACATTCCTCCTCTTGCCTGTTTCTCTTCCTGCAGTTTCAGATATGGGGGGCGTCTGTGAAGATGGAAGTGAAGTTCTCTGAGGAGGAAGGATCTCCTTGGGAGGAGGAGCAGAAGGCGCAGGCCCAGGAGTGTTCCCAAGATGCCGTCTCTCGTGGTAAGGGTGCCTCGTGCCCAGATTTGGGCACACTGTGAAGTTGTTGGACAGAAGGTTCAGGACAGGAGGAAAAAGAGATATTTCTGCACACCACACAGAGTGGACTGCTGAGACTCTGTGCCATCGGATGTAATGGTGGCCACTCACTTGAAGGGGGAATTATACAGATTCATAGAGGGCAATTCCCTTTTTATAGGAACACAGGAGAATATAAGTGAAGCCATGTTAGATCAGACCAGTGGCCCATCCGATCCAAGACTCCATGCTGCACACTGGCCCAAACCCAGGTGCCATCAAGAGGTCCACCAGCAGGGCCAGAGTTCCTAAACCCCTTCCCCTGTTGTCCCACAAGCACCAAGAATACATGGAATCACTGCCCTACACATAGAGTTCCAAATCTGTACCTTGTAACTAATAGTCACTCGTGGACTTCTGCTCCATCCTCTTTAAGCTGTCTAGGCTTGTATCTGCCACTGCTTCCTTCAGGAGTGAATTCCATGTGTTAACTAAAGTATTCCTATCTCATGCCCTGACCTGGATAGCCCAGGCAAGTCAGATCTCGGAAGCTAAGCAGGGTCAACTCTGGCAAATACTTGGATGGGAGACCTCCTTGCAATACCGGAGGCAGGAAGTGGGGGCAGGCTTTATTCAGCCACCTCTCTGAATATTCTCCAGGCCCCCAGTAGGGGTCAGTCACCAGAGGTCACCATGACTTCCAGGTGCACAAGTACCCTCACATGCGCAGGCACGCACACACGGCAGGAGACCTAAGTTAAGAAAGTGGAGTGTAAATGACCAAAATCTTGAACAGGTAACTAACTTTCGCTACCTTGGCATGATTATCCAAGCCTCGGGCTCTAAGTTCGCTCATAGTCAGGCAGCAGCACGCAAGGGTGATAAATCCGCCCAAGGTATACTCAAGTTTTTTTGCTCTACAGGGGGCTATTTCATGCCAGCAGCGCTGAAAATTTTAAGGCTAAAACATTAGCCCAGATGCTCTATTGGACGTTACTTGGAGCGCCATCCTCTTGTTATGCCCCACTAGAGTTGGTTCAATCGAAATTTTTGAGATCAGTGCTCCAAGTTCCAAGGTGTGTCACCAATACAATGGTACGGCTAGAGACTGGCATGATGAAAGTTGAAGCCAAGATCACCTTGCACTCTATCCTTTTCTGGTTAAAGATAAATTTAAATCCATGTGGCCTTGTGCCTTTAATCCTGACTGACGATTACCAATCTGAGTGGTTGACCTCTACTATTTGGAAAATTACGCTACTAGGGTTTTTCCCCCAAGAGCTTTTGAAAAGGGGTGGTGATCAAGCTAAGCTAGTGGTTAGACAGAGGATTAAAGACATCGAACGCCAACTGGACTTACAGGCGACCCCTGCCTTCTTAGCGCCATATAGTAGTAAATATATTGTTGCTCAAGCCCCATATTTATCTGTTTTGGAGTCAAATAAACTTAGGAGGGCGTATACTCTGGCTAGATGCTCTGCCTTACCTTCTGCAGTTCTTGAGGGCAAATTCAAGAAAACTCGCCGAAATGAGAGGCTATGTATGTGTGCGTCTGGGGAGATCGAATCCCAGGAACATGTGTTCCTGAGATGTCCATTATATAACGAAGTCCCACAAAACTCATTGACCCCCTCTTGGTTGGCTCCTCGGATCAGGATAAGATAGATAAATTGCTTTCCAAGTCTGATCATATAGCGCTACATCAGATAGCGAAATTTTGTTTTTTGGTTGTAAAAGCTCATCAGCGTCCAGGCAGTCACTTGGGTTAGGACTGTGATTTTAATTTAATATAATTGATCTTTTTATTTTCGTTATTTTACCTTTTATCAAGATTAAATTCTGTCCAATATTTTACCGTATTTTCAGTTTTAGTGATTAAAACCCACAGAGGGGAGAAACCGTTTGACTGCTCAGAGTGTGGAAAGAGATTTAGTCACAGTGGCAGTTTTCAAAAGCATCAAAGAACCCACACAGGGGAGAAACCTTTTGAATGCTCAGAGTGTGGAAAGAGATTCAGTCGGAGTGGCAATCTTCAACTGCATCAAAGAACCCACACAGGGGAGAAACCTTTTGAATGCTCAGAGTGTGGAAAGAGATTCAGTCGGAGTGGCAATCTTCAACTGCATCAAAGAACCCACACAGGGGAGAAACCTTTTGAATGCTCAGAGTGTGGAAAGAGATTTAGTATGAGTGGTGATCTTCAAAGGCATCAAAGAACCCACACAGCGGAGAAACCTTTTGAATGCTCTGAGTGTGGAAAGAAATTTAGTCTGAGTTCTAATTTTCAAAGGCATCAAAGAACCCACACAGGGGAGAAACCTTTTGAATGCTCAGAGTGTGGGAAGAGATTTAGTCAGAGTGACAGTCTTCAAAAGCATCAAAGAACCCACACAGGAGAGAAACCTTTTGAATGCTCAGAGTGTGGAAAGAAATTCAGTCAGAGTGGCAATCTTCAAGAGCATCAAAGTACCCACACAGGAGAGAAACCTTTTGAATGCTCAGAGTGTGAAAAGAGATTCAGTAGGAGTGGTGGTCTTAAAATTCATCAAAGAACTCACACAGGGGAGAAACCTTTTGAATGCTCAGAGTGTGGAAAGAGATTCAGTAGAAGTGGCAGTTTTCAAAAGCATCAAAGAACCCACACAGGGGAGAAACCTTTTGAATGCTCAGAGTGTGGAAAGAGATTCAGTCAGAGTGGCAATCTTCAAGAGCATCAAAGAACTCACACAGGGGAGAAACCTTTTGAATGCTCAGAGTGTGGGAAGAGATTCAGACAGAATTCCAGTCTTCAACTTCACCAAAGAACCCACACAGGAGAGAAACCTTTTGAATGCTCAGAGTGTGAAAAGAAATTCAGTCAGAGTGGCAATCTTCAAGAGCATCAAAGTACCCACACAGGAGAGAAACCTTTTGAATGCTCAGAGTGTGAAAAGAGATTCAGTAGGAGTAGTGGTCTTAAAATTCATCAAAGAACTCACACCTTTTGAATGCTCAGAGTGTGGAAAGAGATTCAGTAGAAGTGGCAGTTTTCAAAAGCATCAAAGAACCTACACAGGGGAGAAACCTTTTGGATGCTCAGAGGGTGGAAAGAGATTCGGTCAGAGTGGCAATCTTCAAGAGCATCAAAGAACCCATACAGGGGAGAAACCTTTTGAATGCTCAGAGTGTGGAAAGAAATTCAGTCAGAGTGGCAATCTTCAAGAGCATCAAAGTACCCACACAGGAGAGAAACCTTTTGAATGCTCAGAGTGTGAAAAGAGATTCAGTAGGAGTAGTGGTGTTAAAATTCATCAAAGAACTCACACAGGGGAGAAACCTTTTGAATGCTCAGAGTGTGGAAAGAGATTCAGTCAGAATTCCAATCTTCAAAGGCATCACAGAACCCACACAGGGGAGAAACCTTTTGAATGCTCAGACCCAGGGCCCAGCAGTGTGAAAGAAGGCCACCAGCCTCTGTTTGCTTCCAAGCAGACACAGGTCCGTTCTCGCCACCCTAAGAAGGCGAAAGGACTTCCCAAGGGAAATAGGAAGTTGGAGAGGTAGCATCTGAATGACCAAGTAAATTTCCCAGGGTAGAAGCTTTCACAGGGCAAAGCTCATTCGGTCAGGCAGAAATGAGAACCAAGATCCATCAGACTTTATGGCACCTCTGCATCCTGACTCCACATGGCCCTTTTCGGCAACCCCCTTTCTGCCTTCTGAGCATGAGAGAATGGCCGATGGGTCTTCTTTCTCATTCCTATCTGAGAAAGTGAGCTTTAACTCATGAGAGCTTAAACCCTGGAATATTTGGGTGGTCTTGAAAGCACTACTGGACTTGAATTCTGCTCTGATTCTACCGACTAACACAGCAACCCACCAGAGAGGGAGAGAGCATGCCTCGCCTTTCCGGGCTTCAGACTCCAACATATAAAACTGAATAGCTCCAGTAATGGAGGAAAAGCCTCAATCAAACCCACGTGCGTTTGGACGAAGATACAGAAAAAAATTGGAAAGGTTGTCCAAAGTAAAATGATCCTGGTTGAGAGGAACGTCTGCAGTAAAAATGAATGTATTGCCAAAATAAATTTTCTGTTTCAGATGATACCGATCAATATACGAAGACTTTTTTTATTTATTTTATTTTATTTTCGTTATAAAATAGGATACATAAAAGTTCAAAATAATGACAATAATGGCAAACTTGTATCAAGGTAGGTAACATCAAAAATGAAAAAAAAAATACAATTGCTTGTTTCAAAAAATAGAAGACTATACTTTCCACTCTAAGATCAAGGGGTAGAGCAAAGATCAACAAACCTTTGGCATAAGGGTGCTAACTAAGTATCCAGTATATGTACAACTAGCAAATCAGTTATATTTTTGCTGCCAATGTCGGGAGATGGTTTACATCCATTCCCTAAACTGCTGCCAAGAGGAGGGTAAGAAATCTTCTGTTGCTAAGAATTCCAATATAGGCTCCCATTTTTCCATTACAGGTTTTTCTATGGGATTTTGGGTTAATCTATTAAGTTTGTTGGTAACTGAGTCCATAAGGAATTGGTCCCACAACTTTTGATACCAGAGACCCAATGTGGGAGGATTTGGATCTTTCCAACAAGTAGCAATCGCTGTTCGTGCAGCATAGATCATAACATCCAAGGTCTGCTTATGTACATGTTTTTCAATATGAAGCGGCCAATGTTTAAGGAAGAGGTTTTCAGGATCCATTGGGATTTCAAGGCCTATAATTCTGTGTACCATTTGTTTTATTTCTTCCCAAAATTGTGCTATTTTATCACATTCCCACCAAGAATGGGCAAACGTGCCTATCTTATCACAGTTTTCCCAACATTTAGGTGAGATTGTAGCATGCATATGGGAGAGTCGTTGAGGGGTCAAGTACCACCTCGTTAGTATCTTAAAATCTTGTAGCTCTAGTGGAATAGAATTTGGATAAGGATTTTTGGTCTCCCACAGTTCCTTCCAGAAGTTTTGATCCAGTTCTTTC